GACTCTAAATCCGTGATTTCCCCCTTTATAAAAAATACTCACAGCTTTGTTTCCTCGTGGGAAATTCAGTCATTGAACATACCACCTTTTACATCTTTTATTGATAATTTAAAAAATCTAAAAAGTGATTATCAAAGAACATTCTTGGACATGACCAACACATATTCTGTCATTTTTTGCTTTGAAAATGACCTTGACTATATGAATAACAACCTGAACAGCCTGGGCATATGCTCTGAATATATAGTATCCTAGACCTGATTCCATCTGAGAGTAGTGGAGAGAGAGTTTATAGAGAAACCCATAAACACCATAAACACTCTATATGTGAAATACCGAGAACAGAAACTGCATAATTATTCAGAATGATATAAATGGCATTGTAGCAGTTGGCTTATCATGCTTTAGAAGAGGTGCTGCCACAATGCTCCTTAGGTGCAAATGGATTGTCTCACATACTTTGAATGTGTTATCAGGAGGGACCAGACCTCGGAAAAAGAAAGTCAAGTTTGGTGGACACAAAATTTAAAAAACCCTCAAAAATGTGAGCTGACCCAGTGACTGCAACTGTGGGCTCAAACATAACAAGAATTGTGAAAGCGTTCCAGGGCTGGTTGGTGTTTCTGTCTGTTGGCACTGGTTCACTGTGGTTGGAGCCCCCTGGAGAGCTCCTCATGACTATAGCAGCCAGTAAGAGATGACCCAACAGAACACAGTAATTCCTGAATAATGTCATCAACATTGCGTCCAAGTAAATTGTTGGTTTGAGCAATAATTCAAAAACATTTGTAGCACTACAACAAAGAGCTGCCAGCAGCTGAGTATGGATGAAGAAGAGAATGTGTGTGAACGGCCGGGCTCTGAGGAAACGAAGCCAGTGACATTTTTTTATGTGTATGCACACAGAGTGTGATGAACATCAAGAAATGACTCACGTAGTTGTACAAGTGGGCAAATCCAGTCTGATTCAAGTTCGTGGGTCAGCTATAAACCCCACATTTCTCCTTTTGCTGCAGACGCTAATAAACAGAAAACAGGCAAATGAAGCAGAAATATCACAGGCCGGTAGATGCCTAGCTGAATGAATCCAAGATCTGCTGAATGTATCATAGGTCAGCAGTCCTCTGATCGGCAGGCACCCTAACAGGAGGTTGATGAACCCTTTGCAGGATCCAAGCCCAGCAGTAGAATTGAGCGAGCATCCCTGCAAGTTTAATCTACAATAAGAGCAGGACACACCCGCAGTGAAACCTCCCTCGGCTGTATCAAGACGATGGCCACATCGACTGGTTGGTTGCTTCACAGGCGATCCCATCACGGAAAAGCCCAAACTATGACCAAAGTCCTGGGAGAATCCTGGCCTACCCACGTTGACACCAAACCTCTCCTCATGTGGAAGGAGGGATAGCATTGCTGATCAACAGATTGATCATTGCTGAAAGCAGAGAATATAGGAACGATTTTTGTGTGTGTTTACTGACTTATGCAAAGGCACTTCACCATGTGGATCATAGCAAACTATTGATAACATTGCAAAGAATAGGAATTCCAGAACACTTCATTGTGCGCCTGCAAAACCTGCATGTAGAGCAAGGTACTGTAATTCGGACAGAACAGGGGCCTCGATGTTTTAAATCAGGAGACGAGTACATTAGAGATTGTGTTCTCTGACCACACTTATTCATGGTGCATGGAAAGCAAAGAAGCAGAAAAGATGGAATATATGAAGAATAATGTGGCATCAGAATTGTAGGGAAGCTAATTAATAACCTGAGATATGCTGATGACATGATCTGAATGCAAATTGGACTTGAAGTACTTACTTATGAAAGTCAAAAACTATGTCCTTGAGGGTTAAGAAAACCAAAATCCTCACAACTGGACCAAGAAACAGCATCATAATAAATGAAAACAATGATAGAAGCTATGAAGAATGCCACTCTTTATTTGGTTCTGCTTAAGACCCATGGAAACAACATTCAAAAAATAAAACAGCCTTAGAAAAATCAGCAGCCAAAAACCTTGTTAAAGAGCAGATATGTCACTTTGGGGACTAAAGTGCCCCTGATCCATGTGCACCATGATCTTTTCAATCGCCCCATATGCAAATAAAAGCATGAATAAGGAAGAAGTCTGAAGAATTGTCAAGGTCCAGCATCTCATATTATTTGCTCAGCATAAAAGTTGAATGAGTATGGTCAAAGAATCCTACCCTGATAGGTGCTTAGTTTAATGTATAAACAGGTAGCCAGTGAGATTAAAACAATCAAACTGAACTCGGTGGCATGAACTTGATAACAATCGGTAGTCATCTTATGGGACAGAAGGCCACTGTTCCTGGGCATTCCTGAAGCCATGCATTTTTAAAGGAGCAGAAAACTCCACCTTCCTTCCACGGCATGGCTAGTGGTTTAGAACAGCTGACGGTTTTGTTAGCGGCTCAGTGCATAACCACCGCACCACCAGGGCTCCATGGACAGACAAATGAAGAGAGACAAACAGACAAATGCTATCTCTTGATATGTATTAAGCATCTAATTTGTGGGCACTGCCACACTATGTTAAATAAGTACCCCACAGCATTTTTAAAGGATCAAAAATGCTTTGCAGTAAACACAGTCAGGAAGGGGTTTGAAATGGTGTTTGCTTTCATCAAATAGTCTGCTGAGGTCAAGTATCAGTAATCCCAGAATGATGAGCGAAGCAGGACAGCTCCTTCTGTGGTAGTGAGTCATAGCTCCATTACTGGGATGCGTGTGTGGATTCCTTGGGCAGGGATTTCTTCTGCCTTCAAAGCCCAATGAATATGATACTAGATGTAGTAGAAATGCTCTCTGTATTAGTGCCGAACTGATGAAGGCTGCACACGGATTGACGATTTTCCCATCAGTAGCTCATTCTATGGAATTACTTATGTTGTTAACCGGGACACACTTCAGTTCAACTCTTTGTGCCTTTAATGCAATCAATATTCACTTCTTGATGGATCCGAGGAGCCTAACACTAGCTATCTGACAGTGAATACCTTTAGTCCTTTTGTGTATCTGTTTGTGGTGTTTCTTTTTCTCACAGGCCTCATGGTAAGCTTGAAATTATTTTTCTATTACCTTTTTAGCCTAATTTTGACTTCACAGCCACAAAGATTCTGTTAAATTTATTTCAAATAATATTAATCCTCTGCTCAAAATTCTCCAGAGGCTACTTATTACATTTATAATAAAGACCAGTGTTCTTATCATGACCTGAATTAAATCTAGAGCATAATTTTATATGACACAATATAGCAATAAGCAAGAATTAATTAATTATAACAGATACACTAGATATTCTGATGCATCACTGAGAAGTAAAAAAAAAATTAGGTCTAGAGTTTCGAGGTGAGTAAGTGTTCACTATATAAACAAGTTAGAAATAAGTCAATAGAACTACGTATAAACGCAAAGAAAAAAAATACCGTGCCCCTTTCTTGACAGATAGGCATTGTCATTCTACTGCCTCAACGTTTCCTTAATGTATCCCTCCTCCACATTCCTCTCCCTTCAAGTTACAAGTGCTCAACAGGCATCTCATTCTTACCCTTTATATTCCACCAGGGAGGAAAATTTACCTAGAGAAAATCACTCTGTATATTCTGATTACTACAGTGCAAATGAAGCAGGTGGAAAGTCTCTTTGAAAAACAACACAGAACCTAAAATCAAACCACTTGCCAGTGAGTCCATTTCAATCCAGGGCAACCTTGCAGGGAAGAGCAGAGCTGTTGCAGCCAGATCTGAGAGAGAAAGATTGCGCTTTCTACTCCGCAAACAGCCTCAGAAACCCACAGGGGCAGTTCTACCCTGTCCTGGAACGTGACTACGTGTCAGCCTTCACTCCGGCTGGGGGTTTGGTTTGGAGAAACACCTCCTATGGTTTCCGGTGCTGAGATATTTTTGGAAGTAGATGGTTACACCGTTCTCTCATAGTAGCTGGTGGGTTAGAACTGCCCACCTTTCCTTTAGCGGTCCACTTAAGGACTACTTAATCTGAAAAAATATTTGCTTTTTGGACAGCAAGTTATTTGAGTCAAAGAAAATCTCATCTGATAGATTTGGTTTAACCGTGTGCAAGACTGTTTTATGCTTCTGTATGCCACTTCTCTTAAATCTGCCCTCCTGTGACACAGGAGTGGATTCAACACACATGTAAAAGACCCTCACTCGTTCTTAATTTTTATTCAATTATTCTCTTTACTGTCTAATTATCTTTTAAGACTGTATTTAAGACATGGATTAATATACATTTTCTTTTTAAAAATCTTAGATTTAAATGGCATCCCTTCTGTGAAAATGATTATATGTAAATTATCTTTTCAAAAGACTTTACGTGCCAGAAAAGAACTACTGAATTAGCGACAGTTATTTTGCTGTTATGAATAATTTTCAGTGGTTAGGTATGTGACAAGTTGATTTGCATGAACTAGAGGAGTGCTAACTTCTGAAAAAGCTCAATTATAAATCAAAATGTATATGTGGTCATAAGATACAATCACTGCTGACTAGTAATCATGCTTGATCTGCACAACCATCAGTATGTGAAGATCTTTAAATATTATAATAAATCAGCTTTGAAAGGGTTGCTGCTAAGGGCCCTACAAGACAATAAGTGCGACATTTCTAGAGCAAGAGCGAGTTCCCAGGTGACATGTCTTTCATATTTTTATTGAAAGAGGAATGGCTTTTGGTCATAGGGGTTTTAAAGTTCTGAAATTAGTTTTCATAAACCTATTTAATATGTTATCTTCTACAGGTTAAGTATGTGATTGCAATTTTCTGCTGTGTTTTTTATAGTGAATAAATAGCTCAACACCAAGAGTAACAATAGTAGAATTGTTGACTGATCAATCGTTGCGCACTGTTCTCACTGTCTGTAAAGACGTGGCCATGCGGCGGCGACCTTAGCGTGTACGTGAACACTGCCAGACCTCCTGTGCCAGTGACAAGTGTCTCCTCCTCTCTCCAGGTCAAATGCATTTGAGGTTCTGGCTCTGGACGGAATCAGCACTGGGATTCTTCAATTCTACACAGCCCAGGAGAGTGCTGAGTGGCTGAAAGCTGTATCCGCAAATATTAGTGATCTGACACTTCAAAATGTAAGCATGTAGGTTTCCTACCACTTCCAGTGTTTGTTTTTCATACGTGAAAAATAATTTACCTTTTTAATCTGTATGATGAATAATTGAAAAAGTTATAAAGACATTAAATCCAAAGAGCTTGTACATGTGTTTAACACATCGATCCTGAATAAAAATATTTAACATGAAAAAGAGTTTACATATAGGCTGTGTTAGTTCAGGTTGACTAGAGAAACAAATCCATAGATACTCATATATATATATATAAGAGAGAGCCTTATATAAAAAGCAATTGTACATTAAGAAATCCCAGCCCAGTCCAGATCAAGTC